TCCGAGCGAGGCCGTGAGGGACCGCTGGGAAGCGGGGAAAGCGAGAACGCCAAAATCATTCAAAAATCATAGAACAATTAATGAATCTTGCCTCCCAGGGCCCACTTTGGGAGCCGCTTGAGTCCGTCCTGGAGCGTGTTGGAGTCCTCGTCGGACGTCTTGAGGGCAGCTTGGGCGTCTTCGGGGCCTCTTGGGACCGTCTAGGGCCCTCTCGGGACCTCCATTAGCCTGTCGTGGCCTGCTTCGGGGCGGGCCCGGGCCTCCTCTTGGCGCGCTCTCGGGGCACACTTGTGTTGTCTGGGGGGGCATCCTGGGCCGTCTTGGGGGTTCGTCGGGGCCTCGTGGGGGCCTCGTGGGCCTTCTTGGAGCGATCTGAAGGGCCTCCGAAGCCGTGAGGGAGCGCTGGAAAGCGGGAAAAACGAGAACGCCCACATCCAAGACACTCGGAAAACGAGCGAATCTTGCCTTCCAAGGCCCTCTTGGGGAGCCTCTTGAGTCTGTCCTGGAGCGTGTTGGAGTCCTCGTCGGCTGTCTTGAGAGAGAGCATCTTGGGCGTCTTCGGGGCCTCGTGGGACCGTCTTGGGCCCTCTCGGGACCCCCTTAGCCTGTCGTGGCCTGCTTCGGGGCGGGCTCGGGCCGCCTCGGGAGCTCTGGACCTCCCCCCGCAACCCCCAGTGGGCACCGATGGGGGGAACAGGCAGCGGCCCGCCCCCCCCCCTGGGCCTACTCCGAGGTAGAGAATCATGTTCCCGGGAAGCTTTCCGGGAGCATGATTTGTTCGGCTCTCTAAGAGGGGGGCCTCTGGGGGCTTACCGATGGGCGCCTGTTGGCCTTGTCGGCAAGCCTATTGGAAACATGGTTCGGGCGGTGGGCGGAAGCCCAAGGAATCATGTTCCCGGAAAGCTATCTGGGAAGTTCGATTTACTGAAGTGTCTTGGAGGCCCGCAGGGGGCTTCCCTGGGGGCCCCTTGGGGGCCGATTGGGGCTTCCGGGGAACCTCTTGGGAGCCTCACGGGGACTTGGGGAGCTTCTTGATCGCCTCCGGGGGCGTGCTAGGAGCCTCTCAGGCCGGAGAGCTTGAAATGTCGCGCTCTTCGGGTCCTTTTGGGTCGTTCTTTGGGCTCTCTTGGGGCGCTCTCGAGACTCTCTTGACTTATCTGGGGAGCCTCCTGGGCCGTCTCTGGGCTTTCTTGGGAGCCTCTTCGGCCATCTTGGAGCGATCTGAAGGGCCTCTGACGCGGTCCGGGACCGTGGGGAGGCAGAACATGGGAGAGCGCAATAATGCTTCAAAAACGATTGGAAAACTGTTGATTTTCGGCTTCTGGGGTCCTTTGGAGCGGCCTCTGGAGGCGCTGTTGGGGCGTTTCGGTAGCGTCGTCGGCCGTCCTGAAGCCATCTTCGGCGTGTCTGGGGCCTCTGGGAGCTGTCTTTGGGCGCCCTGGGAACCTGGAAATCATGTTCCCCGAGAGACTTCAACATGATTTCGAACGAGGCCCTCTTGGGCCTCCCTGAGGCCGTCTTGGGGGCCTCCTGGGCCGGCTTCGGGGCCTCTTGGGCCGTCTTGGGGGGTTCCGTGAGCCCCACAGGCCGACCCTTTTGGGCCGTCTTGGGCCGTCTTGGGCCTCTCTTGGGCTGTCTTGGGGCTCCGCAGGGGCGTCTGGGGCACTGCAAAGACGAAGCAAGGGAGTATGCTAAAAATGTACGTTATACTACGGGGACAGTCTGATTGTTGCCTCTTGAAGGCCATCTCGGGGCCCTCTTCGGCCATCTTGAAGCCATCTCGGGTCCTCTTGGGCCGCGTTGAGGCTGTCCTGGGGCCCTCTAGGGGGCCCTGGGAGGGGGCCCTGGGAAACCGGAAATCATGTTCCCGGAGAGGTTTCGGGGAACATGATTTTGAACGAAGCCCTCTTGGGCCTCCCTGAGGCCGTCTTGGGGGCCTCCTGGGCCGGCTTCGGGGCCTCTTGGGCCGTCTTGGGGGATTCCGTGAGCCCTACAGGACGACCCGTTTGGGCCGTCTGGGGCCCTCTTGGGCCTCTCTTGGACTGTGTTGGGGCTCCGCGGGGGCGTCTGGGGCACTGTGAAGACGAAGCGAGGGAGTATGCTGGAAATGTACGTTTTACGATGGAAATGTGCCGATTTGTGCCTCTTGAAGGCCCTCTTCGGCCATCTTCAAACCATCTCGGGCCCTCTTGGGCCTCGCTGAGGCTGCCCTGGGGCCCAGTAGGGGGCCCTGGGAGCCCGGAAGTCATGTTCCCAGAGAGGCTTTCGGGAACATGATTTCGAACGAAGCCCTCTTGGGCCTCCCTGGGGCCGTCTTGGGGGCCTCCTGGGCCGGCTTCGGGGCCTCTTGGGCCGTCTTGGGGGATTCCGTGAGCCCTACAGGACGACCCGTTTGGGCCGTCTGGGGCCCTCTTGGGCTGTCTTGGGGCTCCTCGGGGGCGTCTGGGGCACTGCGAAGACGAAGCCAGCGAGTATGCTGAAAGTGTACGTTTTACAAAGGACATGGGCCGATGTTTGCCTCTTGAAGGCCCTCTCGAGGACCTCTTCGGCCATCTTCAAACCATCTCGGGCCCTCTTGGGCCTCGCTGAGGCTGTCTTCTGGGCCTCTTGGGCATCCTCGGAAACCGGAAATCACGTTCCCGGAGAGGCTTGCGGGAACATGATTTCGAACGAGGCCCTCTTGGGCCTCCCTGAGGCCGTCTTGGGGGCCTCCTGGGCCGGCTTCGGACCTCTTGGGCCGTCTCGGGAGGTTCCGTCAGGCCCACAGGACGACCCTTTTGGGCCGTCTGGGGCCCTCTTGGGCCTCTCTTGGGCTGTGTTGGGGCTCCGCGGGGGCGTCTGGGGCACTGTGAAGACGAAGCAAGGGAGTATGCTGAAAATGTACGTTTTACAAGGGAAATGGGCAGATGTTTGCCTCTTAAAGGCCCTCTTAGGGCCCTCACGGGCCCTCTTGGGGCGCTCTTGGGCGTCTTCGGGGCCTCTTCAAGCTTTCTTGACCAACTGTACGGCCCGCGTGGCCTGTCGTGGGCAATTTGGAAGCGGCCCAGGGCAGTCCCGGGGGGTCTCTGACCCCCCAAAAAGGTTCGGTGGGGCGGCCATGGGGGATGACGGCACCGATTTTGCCCGCCCCCCCCGGCCTACTCACATTTACATATATATATTTATATACACATCTATATATATATATATATATAATATTATATATAGATATATATATATATATATATATTATTATGGGTTTTCGTCTCCCCCGCCACTGTCAATATTTTCCCACATCTTCCTGGGGATCGACGACAGTGTCCTTCTCCCCTGACATGTGTCAAGGGAGCCGGGGGGTGCGGGTGGCGCGGGCAGGCACCCGAGCATCCAGCCCCCTGCCATCCCGATGTGGGGGGGGGGCGGAGCGCGTGCGCGCGGTCTCGAGCAAGGACCCCCCCCTACAGGGGGATGTTGGACGAAAAATAGAGAATACTCAAAACATTCTCCAAACATATTCAAAACTATGCAAAAGATCGTCCCCAGACTATTTTCTTTCTACTCTTGAAGATTCCTCCTGTAAAGGGACAGGCCCGACTTGAAGCAAGGACCCCCCTCCTCCCTCCCCGTACGTCAGGTCCGCGTCGTGTCGACCCTGGCGTTGGTTTCGCTGACACCGCGGGGATCGTTCAGACTTGAACGATCGACCATTTCCAAAAGGCCCTATCGTTCAAGGATGGGCCGACTCTGGGCCACAGGCGGCGTTCAACCTCAAACGCCCGTGCTGGGGTCGCCGCCATTTGAAACACGACGCGAACCTGCCGTACCCCTTTCCCCTCCCTTCCACTCCTTCTCCCTAGAAGTAATTCCTCCCTGTCGCACCCCGAGGCCATTCGGAAGGGCGGGCCGGGCGTCTCGCCCGAGGCTTCCTCGACATCTGTGCTCCTGAAGCCTACAGGTTGGCAACATTTTCACAGATGGAGGGCGTGCCGCTTTCAAACTGTGGCTCTCGCATCAGCGCCGCGCACATTCGTGTTAAACATTTGCATGGGCTCTGCGGATAATGGGCGAATGGTCATCAAAATGCGGCTCTCGCCTGAGCGCCGCGCACATTCGTGCTTCATGTTTGAACGAGCTCCACGGATTGGGGGCGGGTGATTCTCAACATGTGGCTCTCGCCTTAGCGCCGCGCGCATTCCTTTTTAACACATGCACGAGTTCTCGGATTGAGGGCGGGTGGTTCACAAAATGCGATTCTCGCCTGAACGCCGCAAGAGGAGTTTCACATGAGGGTGATTGAGGGCGGGTGATTTTCAAAATGCGGCTCTCGCATGAGCGCCACGCACATGCGTCTCAGGAGTTTCACGGATGCCCATGGTTAACGTACCAGCAACAATGTTGTATGATCGATTCAGGATTGCCAGGACGCAACGGTTATGTTGATTCGCGGTGTTGAAGTCCCAAGAATGGTGTTCTGGCGCGGTTCAGGATCGTCAAGACGCAACTGTCAAGTTGATGCGTTTTGGCATCGAAAATTGTGTTTTGGCACGCTGCATGAGCTTCAAACGATTGTCTCCCAACGGGGCAGCTCCCTCAGAGAAACTGAACTTTTGTAGGGGGACTATGAAGAGGCAGAGCTTGGAGGGAGGGTGTATTCCAACATAGTCAATGGGTTGTGGGTTTGCACTGGTCCTCCTCCTCCTCCGCCTCCTCCTCATCATCATCATCCTCGCGCCTTCAAAATCAGAGGCCTCCCAGATGGGGTCCGAGTCGATGGGGACGGAGGATCGCGCCGCATCGCCGATGCATTCGCAATGCATCGGCGACACCAGCGATGCACCAGCGACTCCAGGGCGGAGAAGCTCGGGCTCCACATCGCGCCGCATCGGCGATGCATCGGCGATGCGGCGCGATCCTCCGACCCCATCTGCTCGAAGCCCATCTGTCGGGCGTTGCTAGAAGTGCCCCTGGCCCAAGGTGCCCCCAGCTTTTCGCCCCATTCTGGAGCCCCTGGAACCCTCTGGGCCTCGTGAGGGGTGCCCGGGAGGCCGTCTGGGCCACCCCGAGAATCCTGGGGGGACCCTGGGCCAGGGGCACTTCTAGCAACACCCGATCCTGGGACGCCCAGATAGAAAGACTGACTCCAGGTCCTCTGCTGGGGTGCGCCCTGGCCGGGACCTCGAGGCGGACCCAGCCGCGGCGGTGTGAAGGCTGCCCGAGGCCCCACAGAGGGCGAAACAGCGCCCACAGCCTCGGGCCTCGAGTCTCCCCGCGGACGAGCAACGCTGGTTGGTGGTGGACCAGCTGAGGGGGGTGAAGCCATGGACCCGGAATGGACGCTGCGCCGCCAACACGTCGGCGGTGGGCCCCCGACAGCGAAGCCGTGTGGTCCTGGCAGGGGTGGGCCATCGGGCCTCTATCGGCGATCCATGGCCGAAGGGGGGTCGCCCACCCTGGAGCCCATCACCCCAATAACGTGCCCACGACGTCGCCATCTGTTGCACAGCGTGGACCCGTTTTTCATCCCGGATCGTTTTTGACGGTGCCGGGTCCTGGTGCCCAAGCCATCCGCCACCGCATATCTACGGTAACGAGGAGCGGGGGAGGAGGAGGAAGGAGGAAGAGGACTCGACTCGACTCGACTCACCTGCAGCACCATCTTAGTCTTCTCTCTGGCCGTGCACTATGTACGGTCCTGCTGCAGACAAAAGCTCAGTGGGAAGATGAAGGAGGGGGGGGAGGAGGAGGAGGAGGAGGAGGAGGAGGAGGAGGAGGAGGAGGAGGAGGAGGAGGAGGAGGAGGAGGAGGAGGAGGAGGAGGAGGCAGAGGAAGAGGAGGAGGAGGAGGAGGAGGAGGCATGAGACCGAAGACGGCCGAAAGCCTTTGGGTTCGAGGGGGGGGGTCCGAGGCAGAGCGGGGCGGCCGCTCGGAAGCGTGGAAGCGCCGCAGAGGGGGCCCCGGGGCCTCGCACTCCCTGCCGCCGTGCCGCGGCAGCGAGGCGACGCCACGTTTCCTGGCACGAGGGCTGCGGGATCGCGCCGCAAGGAGGGGGGCGGTGGCGGGCCGATGGCTGGATCGAAGAGCGCACCTGGGGATGGAGGGTTTCTCCGAAGAGCTTGGGCGACCCGTCCTCTTCCTCCTCCTCCTTCTCCTCCTCCTTCCTCCTCCTCCTTCTCCTCCTCGGGGCGGTGGCGGGCCGATGGCTGGATCGAAGAATGCAACTTGTTGTTTGCACTGGGAGCTGAACGGAGGATAGCGCCAGGGGAAGTGCGCGTGAAAAAAAAGGATCGAAGAGTGCAACCGGGAGGTCCCCAAACTGGAGGCCTCCTGGGCATGGTCCGAGCCCATGGGGTCGGAAGATCGCGCCGCATGGGGCAGGGAGGAACCGGTGGCGGTGGCGGGCCGACGGCTGGAACGAAGAGCGCACCTGGGGGAGAACATGCTACGCATGGAATGAGGTCAAGGATAAGATGAACGATGGGGTTATGCTTAGGTCGGGCCGGTCCTCCTCTGCAGGCGGGTTTAGGACGAAAAATTACTCCGACGGAAGGACCCCACATGAGAATCTCTTGCGCTTGCATGGGGGTATCCTCCTGCCCCTTCCCTTCTCCCACCTACTCTTGCCTCCTCGTTCTCCTCCTGTCTGCTCCTCCTCCTGCCTCACCCCCTGCCTCTTCCTCCTCTTCTTGCCTCCTCCACCTCCTCCCCCTCCCCCTCCTTATGCTTCCTCCCCCCCACTCCCCCTGCCCCTCCTGCCTCCTGCCTCCTCCTCCTGCTCTCCCTCTCCCTTCTCCTCCTCCTCCTCCTCCTCATCCCCTGTCCTCCTCCTCTCCCTCTCCCTCATCCGCTTCCTCCTCCTCCTCCTCCTCCTCCTCCTCCTCCTCCTCCTCGTTTCCATATTCCTCCCCCCTCCTCCCCCCCCCCCCCCTCCCTCCTCCTCCTCCTCCTCCTCCTCCTCCTCCTCCTCCTCCTCCTCCTCCTCCTCCTCCTCCTCCTCCTCCTCCTCGTTTCCATATTCCTCCCCCCTCCTCCCCCCCCCCTCCTCCTCATCCTCCTCCTCCTCCTCCTCCTCCTCCTCCTGCCTCCTCCTTAGGCCTCCTGCCCCCTCCTGGGGCCTCCTGGGGCCTCTTGGGGCCTCCTGGAGCCTTCTGGGCCTTCCGGGACCTACTGGGGCCTCCTCGGGCATTCCTCCTCCTCCTTTTCCTCCTCGTCCTTCCTCCCCTCAGCCTCTTCCTCTTCCTGCTTTCCTGTCTCGTCCTGCATCATCCCTCCTCCTTTTCCTGGCAATCCTCCTCCTCCTCGTCCTCGTGCGGAACACGACCCAGAGGAAGCGCACGACGTGCGTCCCAGCCGATACGCGCCGGAGGACGACCCAGAGGAAGCGCGCGCCGGAGGATGACCCGGAGGAACCACGTGAGCTGCGGGACCCATAGGAAGGCTCCCGCCTGACGCGTCCTCACAATTCACTCACAGACGAGGGTCCCGCTTGATACTTCTTCCAAATTCAGACCTGAGGAGCCCAAAAGTGACGACAGTTACAGGAATCCGATGACCCGCTCGGATTAATAACATGATCTGCGGGCCCCATAGGGAGGGGGCTCCCGCCTGAGACTTGCTCGCAATTCACTGACAAACGAGGCTCCCGCCTGATACTTCCTCCAAATTCAAACCTGAGGAGCCCAAAAGTGATGACAGTTACAAGAATCTGATGTCCCGCTTGGATTAATAACATGATCTGCGGGCCCCATAGGGAGGGCGCTCCCGCTTGAGACTTCCTCACAATTCACTCACAGATCAGGTTCCCGCTTGATACTTCCTCCAAATTCAGACCTGAGGATCCCAAAAGTGACGACAGTTGCAAGAATCCGATGACCCACTCGGATTAATAATATGATCTGCGGGCCCCATAGGGAGGGGGCTCCCGCCTGAGACTTCCTCACAATTCACTCACAGACGAGGCTCCCGCTTGACACTTCCTCCAAGTTCAGACCTGAGGAGCCCATAAGTGACGACAGTTACAAAAATCCGATAACCCGCTCAGATTAATAACATGATCCGCGGGCCCCATAGGGAGGGGGCTCCCGCCTGAGACTTCCTTACAGTTCACTCACAGACGAGGCTCCCGCTTGACACTTCCTCCAAATTCAAACCTGAGGAGCCCAAAAGTGACGACATTTGCAGGAATCCGATGACCCGCTCGGATTAATAACATGATCTGCGGGCCCCATAAGCAAGGGGCTCCCGCCTGACGCGTCCTCACAATTCACTCACAGACGAGGGTCCCGCGTGATACTTCTTCCAAATTCAGACCTGAGGAGCCCAAAAGTGACGACAGTTACAGGGATCCGATGACCCGCTCGGATTAATAACATCATCTGCGGGCCCCATAGGAAGGGGGCTCCCGCTTGAGTCTTGCTCGCAATTCACTGAAAAACGAAACTCCCGCCTGATACTTCCTCCAAGTTCAAACCTGAGGAGCCCAAAAGTGACGACAGCTACAGGACTCCGATGGCCCGCTCCGATTAGTAACATAATCTGCGGGCCCCATAGAGAGGGGGCTCCCGCCTGAGACTTCCTCGCAATTCACTCACAGGCGAGGCTCCCGCTTGATACTTCCTCCAAATTCAGACCTGAGGAACCCAAAAGTGACGACAGTTACAGGAATCCGATGACCCGCTCGGACTCGTAAATATGACTCGCGGGCCCCATGGGGAGGGGGCTCCCGCCTGAGACTTCCTCACAAATCACTCACAGACGAGGCTCCCTCTTAGTGGATGATGGTGGTGGGATGATGACGACGGTGTTTGATGATGATATATGATTGATGATGATGATGATGATGATGATGATGATGATGATGGTGATGATGATGATGATGATGATGGTGGTGGTGGTGATGATGACGACGTGATGATGATGGTGGTGATGATGAGTGCTGATGGTGAGTGATCGTGCGATTGTGATGGTAAATGGTGGTGATGATGACGGGGGCGAAGTGGTGAGTCAGCGAGTAGTGATGATGCTGATGATGATCGTTCGATGCCGATGATGGTGCGTGATCGTGCCATGGTGATGGTGATGCTGATGGTGATGACGATGATGAGTATGGGGTGTGATGGTGATGGTGATGATGATGCGGAGGAGGAAGCAAAGAGGAGCAGAGGAGAGGGAGGAGGACTAGAGATCCTGCGCGGAGGGTTTGCACAGAAAACAAGAACCCCACTTAGGATGTGGGGAATAAAACATATGTTCAAAACATACACCAAAATAGTCAAAAGGGGTTCGAAAAATCGTCCCAAGACAAATGCTTGCGCATTTTTAAACATTCCTCCTATAGAGGGACACGCCCGACTTCAGGCGATGCTGCTTCTTTTGATTTTGAGCCGGCCATGATGCCCGTTCGTGCCCACCCGGTCCCGTCTTCAGACACTTCGCACCCCCCTATGATAGTGGGATGGAACGACAGGCCACCACCCCCGGCACTGCACGCATGGTGCCAAGTTCGTGGGGACTCGCCGGTGCCAAGTGCGCAGACTGGAGACCTCCTGGGTATGGTCCGAGCCGGTGAGGTCGGAGGATCGCGCCGCATGGGGCAGGGAGGAACTGGTGGCGGGGAGGATCGGGGAGTGCGCTCCCGAGTGGCCTTCGGGTTTGCGCCGTCGGGGGAGTATCGGGGAACTCTGCCGACGCCGTAGGGGAGGACCGAGGAGAGAACTTTCGACGATCGAGGTTTTCGGGGCGACTTCGGGGAGGATCTCCTCCTCGTCTCATACCTCGGAGGAGGGGGAGAAACAGGCTGGAGGGGCGATTGCTCGAAGATGGAAGGGGCCCAGGACACATGTCGGGAGGCCCGCTGCCTATTTCAAAAGCGACTTGCCTCACAGTCTCGACCACATTCAGCCGCGAAGGAAAACATCGGATCACTGATGCAAGTTCCTGCTGCCATTATCGGAGATGTCATTGCGTCGCCCCCCTTGCGCGCAATCCCCTCGATGCACCAAACGGTTGCTGAGCACGTCCAGGCACGGCTGCCACCACCAGTGCGCGCCAGGATGCGCCTCCTCAGAACCTCCCGTTCAGTTCCCCCCATCCTTTTTCGAAGCGGAACTTCGATTGGGCCAACATTGAGGCAAACGGAAGATCGAACCGTATCTTCCGTTTGAGAGGGTCAGACTTGTGGTTTGCTTTACAGACGGCTGCACAGATCAAATGCATCGCCACTGCAAGCAAACGAATTCCCCGTTTTCCATCCCCCCGGCCGTTATCTCGGGCCTCTGATTTAATATAAGTCCCAAGGTGCTCAGGGGGATCCTCCGAGTGGGTTGCCCAGAATGCGCTCCGCACTTGCTGCGGACCATCACGCCCAGCGAGTTTCTGTCTCCCTGCGCGTGGTGAGCGCGCGGGCGGTATTTCGGCGCCTCCAGACGCAGTCTGGAGGGGCGGGTGTGGCACCAGCCCGCTTGGCCGTGGCTGCCTCCACGGCGGACGCCGTGTGAGGTTCCCCTGGCGCTGCCTAGCGCCCCCCGTTCCGCGCCCCCCGCCCTTGCTGGGCAACCACAGGCGCACCCACGCCCTTTGGCCAACGTAGCGCTGGCGACCCTTCACACGCGCCGTCTGGCCCTTCCACGGCGGGGAGGTGGGTGATCCCGCAGAGGGCTGCCCCCACCAGGCTGCACCGTGCTGGGATCGGTCGGCCATCCCGCCCTGGTTGCCGCCGTGGGGTCCGTAGCCTCGTCGCGGGTGGCTCTCCTTCGCCCGGCCTATCCCCTCCGCCTCGTCTTCCACCCCTTCCTCCTCCCTTACTGTCTGCTTACAAATGCTTCCCCTCTCATCCTTTCCTTGCCTCCCTCCCTTTCCTCCTGCTCCCTGCCTGCTGCCTCCGCCAAGACCGCCTTCTGCCTGCCCACCAGTCCCTCCGGCCCCGGGCTCCCGCCTGCGAGTTCGTCGTCGTCTGCATGCTTTTCCCCTCCTCTTCCCCCTTCGCCGGGCAGCACAGCCTTCCAGGGAGCGGCGTGGCGGCGCGCAGAGCAACCTGGAGGGCCCGTCTGTAACCACAGCACTGCCAGGGTATCTCAGAATTTGCCGACGGCCCCAGTAGGGCCTCGGAGCACATCGGTATAACCGCGTCGCTGAGCCGATCTTGAAGCTGACTCCAACTGCGCAACCGCGACGGCATTTGGATCTTAACCAGAATGGCCCAACGCTATTTGGCACAACCGTGTGGTGCAACCGTGCGATGCAACCATCTGGTGTAAGTTATGTGGTGCAAGCTGTATGTTGCACGCTATGTGATGCAGTCTGCATGGTGCAGTCTGCGTGGTGCACGCAATGCCTTGCAAGCTATGTGGTACAAGCTCTATTGTGTAAACCACGCGGTGCAATCTATGCATGCGGCGCACGCTGTGCTGCGCAAGTCAGACTGTGCAGTCTACGCGGTGCAAACTCTGTGGTGCAAATTATGTGATGTAAGCTGTGCGGCGCAAGCTGTGCAGTGCACGCTATGCTGTGCAGTCTGCGTGGTGCAAGCTGTGTGGTGCAAGCTATATGGTGTAAGCGACGCGGATCAAGCAATGTATGTGGCGCACGCCATGTTGCGCAAGCCAGGTGGTGCAATCTGCGTGGTGCAAACTCTGTGGTGCCATGTGATGTCAACTGTGCGGCGCAAGCTGTGCGGTGCACGCTATGCTGTGCAATCTACTGGGGGAACCAGAAGGTACCGATACCGCTACCCCCTGGACCTCTCCCGGGGTGCGCTCTGACCCAGATTTCGAGGCGAATCCAGCGGTGGCGACGAAGGCCTCCCGGGAGGCCCGAAAAGAGGAAAACGGGCGAGGGGGTAGAGGCATGGGTGCCTTTTCCTCCCCTGCTCTACGTTTGGGCGCCCGAGATATCCGGGGTAACTCGGGTCGGGGGTAACTCGGGTTTGGATTCCCGAAAAAGCACCCCGAGTTGGCCCTGACCCGAGTTACCCCTGATGATGTGGGGCTCTGGACGCCCGAATTATCCGGGGTAACTCGGGTCCGGGGTAAGTCGGGTTCGGATTCCCGAAAAACGAACCCGAGTTAACCCTGACCCGAGTTACTCCAGATTTCGTAATAAAGGAAAAGGGTCTCATTTCGGGGGGGTCTCTTCCAGGCTATCTTGGAGGGCCTGGGGGGGTCTGGGGACGATGTTTTGGAGGGTTCTCCCACGGGGGAGGTCTGAAATGGCTTGTCTTGGAGGGTCCAGACCCCCTCCATTTTATTACGAAATCTGGAGTACCCCTGATGATTCGGGGCTCTGATACGCGGTGGGTGTGATTTGTGTCTCTGTGTGTGCAGGTAGTTCTGAGGCCCCAGGAGGCCCCAGGAGGCCCCAGGCGGCCTCAGGAGGCCCCAGGAGACCCCATGAGGCTCCAGGAGGCCCCAAGAGGCTCCAGGAGGCCCCAGGAGACCCCAGGACGTTCCAGGAGACCCACAGGAGGCTCCGAGGCGGGGTCTGGGATATCAGAAGGTACAAAAAGCCGCAGGAGGCCCCAGGAGGTTGCAGGATGCCCCCAGGACGCTCCGACGCGGGGTCTGGGGTACCAGAAGGTACGTCGGGGCTCGATGTTGGGAGGATGTCTCAGGCGAAACCGCCATTCTCTGAGAATCGGGGTCAAAAATATTGTAATAATTACAATGTGTTTTTTGAAGGTTTTATTTTAAAATGTTGAGATTCCAATGTGTTTTTGGACCCTGACGTCACGATCTGTGTAAGGGGTGCCACCGATTTTCAGAATTTCGAGGATGTCCCCAGCAAAACGGCCAGACAAATCGCGAACGACGCGGCGCGTATGCATTCATCGCCTCTGAGCTCTACTCCCTCGGAGAGGTGCGGCCTCAGAACTACCTGCACACACAGAGACACAAATCACACCCAACACATCACACGCTAGACAAACATAACACACACAACACCTACAACGCACAAAAAACACGCACAACACAGAACACACATCACACCCACACAACACTCACAATCCTGGGGCCTCCTGGAGCCTCTTCCGGTATCCAAGTCGGGCCTACTGAGGCTTCCTTCCTGGGGGGCCCTGGTACATACATCGCAAGGTGTGGCAACCCCACTTGCGCTCGAGTGCGACTTCGCTGTTGCATTTCACTCCTGCTTCAAACGCCCCTTCAATTTTTTTGCATGAGTCTGGGCACACACGTGTCAATTGTATATGTATGTATATATATATATATATATATATATATATATGTATGTATGTATGTATGTATGTATGTATGTATGTATGTATGTATGTATATATATATATATATATATATATATGTGGCCGAGCGCTGGGACGATATCTGGCCACACGTATATCCAGGTCTCGCCCGTGCCCGCCGAGCCACACGTGCCCAGCCTCCTGGCAGAAGGACTGGTGCCACTGGCGGGCTCCCGCCTGGGCTCGACGTGATGGGGTGGGTCGGGGCGTGGAGACGGGGCCTCGATTTCATGGGGTCGCGGGGCGCCCCGAGAGCCTGGCCCAGCAGCCAACGAACGTGTTTTACGACGTGTCTGCTCGTGTGCTTTTGGCCTTCCTGGTCGAGACTTGGGCGGAAACGTGTTGCCCCCAGTGTTGCACCCGGTGTGCCAAGGGACTGGTTCTCCCCGACGCGGGCTTCACACGACAGCTTGGGGAAATTACCGCCACCCAGCAAATTCCTAGTGCCCACGGACACACTGGCAAATTCACCCTGTCGGCGTGTGTGGGTCCTGGGGAATGTCCGGGGGGGGGGGAGTCCCAGAGGGGGTCCCAGGAGGGGGGGTCGGGGTCCCGGGCGGGGGTCCCTGGGGGGATCCCGGGGGTCGTGACCTCTCCACTGGGGGGTCTTCCCTGTGGACAAGAGGGACAGGGGCAAGTCTCCCCCCCCTGTGGACAAAGGGGCCATCATCCCCCCCTCTTCCTGGACTCCCCCCCCCCAGAGGCATCCTACTCACTCTCACCTGCTGCTGCGGGATGATGTGTATTTTCCTACATGCCTCCAGGAGGCCTCAGATCTGCTCCGAGGCGGCTCCGAGTGGCCACGAGGCTTCCCAAGCCAAAAGTTTCCCCAGAGGCCCCCCAACAGAGCCCAACAGGCTCCCAGGAGAGCCCTAAGAAGAGCTCCAGAGTGTCAGCGTCGTCGTCGTCGTCGCCGCCGCCGCCGCCGCCGCCGTCGTTCCCCTTCAGGGCTGGCGGCACCGGCCGTCAGGCCTTCCCAATCACAACCATGATGCAAATTCGGGCCTGCGGAGTGCGGGAAGCGGTTGGCTTGAACCAAGCAGGAGGGAGAGCTGCTTGTGGCCACGGCGAGCCCTGGCCACGAAGACCCTCCCCGACTTAGATCTGCGGAGCGGCTCGAAAACTGGAGACCTTCATCCCAACATGGTCCTTATGTGGGCGTCTTGACTGTACGGTATGGCCGTTGGTAGCGGCCTCGATGGTGACTGAATCTTGGATGACCTCTCTGATCCGATGGGAGCGTCAGTCTTCGAGCAATCGCATGCTATTTCCACCGACTCTGATGCAAGAGGGATGCATAGAAGCGGGGCCTGTCACAACACAGCCCTTGACTGGGCACCAAAAGATCGAATGCGAAAGCCGGGCGAAACAAGGCCGTGACCGCGCTGCCCGCTCGCCCTACTACAAGCCAGAACATCACAATCACCGATCCTTTCCATGAGGCCACCGCCGCAGGTGGTGGTGCAGGTACCCCACTGCTCCCAGTCGCCGAGCTTGCAGTCGACCACTGTGCAATTCGACAGCGAGCAAGCTTTCACGTCCTCTGCTCGGCCAACGAGAACGAGGAGATACGATGATGCTGTTGATACACAATCATCAAGACACTCTCGTATAGTCTGCACATGGTGAACAAATCAACCAAACATGCACCCATACGGGTTACCGTGTTGACTTTATTGCCAAAGCTTCAAAAACACTCAGTCGGGCTCGTCTCCCTCAACTCACCGGAAGCAACACTCAAATCACGGCATTCGTGCTTCGTAATGGTATACCCTCAGAACATGTAAGCACGCCCGCATATTCCCACATGTTTGTATCATCATATGTTGTCCCGAATCCGACAGTCTGGGGTTGTTAGACTTAGAAAGCAGGACCCCCTTCTGCATACCGAGGTCGCCAGACCCCAAATCCCTCAATATCTCGCTCGCGTCCTCGACGAATGACGAGACCAGACCGCGGTCGCCAGACCCCGCAGGATCCCGCGGATCCCTGAGTATCCCGCCTCGCGTCTTTGAATAATGATGACGACACCACGCATACCAGACAGCCCCGAGGGGGATGCGTCACGGCGTCGCGCCGTCCAGGCGTCACGACGCACGAGGAAAGAGGCATGAGGAACGGGCATCGGGAACACACAGCAATAAAGGTCTTTTACACACTTAAATCTATATACATGCATACATATATATACATGCATATTTACAAATGTATATATTAGACATAGACATATCATACCGAATACACTATAACACAACAGGGGACACCACAGTACACCATACACCAGAGTAAAGCATGAACCATACTGTACCATAGACAAATAGCAACACATAGTATGACACCCATACCATACCATTGCATTGTTGGTCGGGACACATTATATAACATCACAGATAATACCATACGGCAACACATCACAACATGATCTTACAGAGCGGAGCAGAACACAATTTACCATACACGGGCATACAATGAAACACCATGCTTGTTCTAATGCTGCTACCACTACGGCAACCCCTACAACATGTTAGCCAGCGTGGATCCCGAACAGTGGTTTCTAGCATACTATATTTTGCAGCTTACGTAGTGTAAGCTATGCGGTACAAGCTATGTGGTGCACGCTATGGGTCGCAAACTCTGTGGTTTAGGCTATGTGGTGTAATCCGTGTGGTGAAATATATGGTGTGCGATCGATAAGGTGCGAGCTACGTAGTGCAACCTATCAGGTGCCATCCATGTGGTGTGATCGATGATCTGTAAGCTACGTACTTCATCCGAAGTGGTGTAACGTATGCAGTGCAATCTACTTGGTGTGAATGATGTTGGGCAATCTACGTGGTGCGATCGCAGTGCAGTGCGTTGCAGCGCAACGCGGCAGAAAGGCGGCGGCGAAGGGCGGCGACGGGGCGGCGACGGGCGGCGACGGGGCGGCCGCGCGGCGACCACAAGCCGGCTGGGGCGACACATGAGCCCGCGACGAGGTGGCAAGGAGTTGTGTTTGGCGGCCCGGGGGCCCGGGAAGGGCCCCCTGGAAGCCGAAATTGGCCGACAACCTACCGTCGCGAATTGTTTTTCGGGTGGCGAGGGAGGGAGACGGGGACCTAACTGACCCGGGTCAGTCCAAACCTGGGTGAGCCGGGCTGTGCAGGATCCTGCAAAATCCTACAGGATCCTGCGCCCAAGCCGGGGTCAATGCGCCCCTGGCGCTGCGGGACCCTGCAAGATCAGGCGCTCTGGCTGACCCCCGCTTGCATTGACCCCCGTCTCTTGAGCCCCGGTGGAGGAGGAGGAGACGGAGGAGGAGGAGGAGGCGGAGGAGGAGCAGGAGGAGGAGGAGGAGGAGAGGAGGAGGAGGAGGAGGAGGAGGAGGAGGAGGATAGGAGGAAGATGCGACACTGCCTGGAACGGCCGCGCGGTCTGGGCGCCAAGCCGTCTGCGCAGAAGGCGACACCGCGGGGGCGGCCTCGCCGTGCACCTGTGAGGAGGTGCCGCCCTCCCACCGAGGATCTCGGAGGTGGCACCCAGGCGGCAGAGGAGGAGGAGGAGGAGGAGGAGGAGGAGGAGGAGGAGGAGGAGGAGGAGGAGACGGAGGAGGAGGAGGGAGAAGGAGGAGGAGGAGGAGAAGGGAGACGGACGAGGAGGAGGAGGAGCAGGGAGAAGGACGAGGAGGAGGAACAGGAGGAGGATCAGGAAGAGGAGGAGGAGGAGGAGGAGGAGGAGGAGCAGGAGCAGGAGGAGGAGAGGCAGCAGAGGAGGAGGAGCATGAGGAGGATTATCACGAAAAAGTGAGACGATACGGAGGGCGGTCGGGACAGTAGAAAGTTTGGGCGCGGGACGGGGTGCAGCGAGGCCGTGCACCTCTCTCGTCCAGCGCAGGCCCAAACCGCTGCCAAAGCGCGCTAGTCCGAGCGCGCAGGCCCCAAACCGCCGCCAAACGGGGCTTGGCCCAGTGGATTTCAGGGTCCGTGACCAGGAGCGGTCTCGGGCCAGGAATGGGGCGCCCACCAGGGCGACCCAGCCGTCGGCAGGGTGCCGACCAGCCAGGAAAAGCCGTGGGTTTCGCGCAGCCCGCCACGACGTGCGGCTGAGATCGGCAGGCCTACCATCCACCAAGAGGTGTCCTGCCGTGCCCGTGGTGGAGAAACCGCAGGAAACGCAGAGAACGCCGTGGCCCGAGGAGACCCAGGAGGCGACGGCCCCCTCAAGGCCACGGCGGGAACGATGCCCGCACTGAGCAGGGTCCCGACAAGAACCGTGGAGGCGCCACGGGCCGGTCTGTCGTTCCTGCCGATCCGCCTCTCCGTGCATCGGGAGCGCAGGCTGCGCCCGACCGAGCAGGCACAGCGGCGGCAGCGGCGGCAGCACAGCGGTCATCAGGATCTGTCGTGCGAACCTGAACTATGGGCTCGGAGGACACCCTGGGGCGCACCTGGCGAGCGTCAGAGGAGGCGTCCGAGTCGTCGGGATCCCGAGGGCGTGGGCCCAAAGTGGCCCCGCTGCTGGGGCCCGCCCCAGGGTCGAAGGGCCCGACTCCGAGCCGAGGACGAACCGAACGATCGAAGTCGGAGGCACGAGGATCGGGGGCGCGCAAACATGGATTAGCGATCCATGGATTTGGCGCGCGGTCGCTAAATCCATGCATCGGGAGAAGTACCCTCCCCAACATGCGGCCGGTGCCGCCTCGCTCGGCGGCGGAAATACGCGATTGACCCTGGAAACGGGACCCGTCGCTAATCCACGCCACCTTGATCCATGTCTGCGATCGCCTGAGAGGAGGGGGGTCGCACGTGCAGTCACCGCCAGACGTGCGCTTGCCAGTGGCACGCTCATCCCCCCCAAATGTCCAGATCCTCCTGGCTTTAGGTCGGGCATGTCCCCCTACAGGCGGATTTTTGGCGAAAAAGAAGCAATAGTCAAACAAGTACCCCAAAGTAGCAAAACAAAATCAAAAAATCGCCCCCAGACTAATTTTATACTATTTCTGACTACTCCTCCTGTAGAGGGACATGCCCGTCTTAATCCTGGCTGATGTCAGCGCTGCCCCCTCCAGCGCCGTCGTCCCCGCGATAAGTGGCGGGTCAGAGGGGATGAAGGAACGTCGCTCCCAGGTGCAGAGGCGGAGGAGGAGGAGGACGACAAAGGAGAGAACAAAGGAGGAAGAGGGAGGAAAGCCCAAATCGCCAACTGAAAGCTGAACGAGAAAGAGAAAGAGAAGGAGGAGGAGGAGGAGGAGGAGGAGGAGGAGGAGGAGGAGGAGGAGGACCCGTCCCCCTGCCCGCTCCTTCAGCGAGACGGCGCAGGAGGGACCCTGGCGCGTGACGCTGCGGGAGCGCTCCGCCATGCCCTCGCCGCACATGCGCGAGCAGGGCGACCAGTCGGCCCAGTCGGACAGCTCGCACTGAGGCGCGCTCCGTCTTCCCGCCGCGAGGGCGAGGAGGCCCTCCCCGTGCAACCCGCCCTCCATCCTGCTTCTGCTTCCTCCCTCCCTCCTCCCTCGTCCCTGACCCTCCTCCTACTCCTGCTCCTGGCCCTCGTCCTCCCCCTCCCCCTCTTCCTCCGCAGAGGCTCGTCGACAGGCTCGTCGACGCAGAAGGTGCACCCGCGGCTGTCACGAGCCTACGCCCCAGAAGGACTCCGAAAGCACCGGCGAGCGCGGCGAGTGCGTCCGCATCTGGGCGCAGGGAGCAGATAGATGCACTGTACGAAGGAGGCAAGCCTCAGGAAGAAGATGAGCCTCATGACGAGCCTCGTGAAGAGGGTGGGCCTCATGCAGAACGTGAGCCTCATGACCAGGATCTGCCTAATGACGAAGAGCCTCATGAAGCAGGTGAGCCTCATGAAGGTGGTGTTTCTCAGGAAGCAGATGAGCATTGTATGTACCTTGATACTCATGACGACTTTCATGAAGAAGGTGAGTCTCATAGAGACGAATCTCACGAAGTAGGGGAGCCTCATGGATACGGTGAGCCTCACGAAGAAGGCGAGCTACATTAAGATGGCGAGACTCACAAAAATGGTGAGCCGCATAATGACGAGCCTCACGAAGCAGGCGAGCCTCACGAAGACGGCGAGCCAGAGGATGAAGGCGAGTCTCATGCAGCATTTGAGAGCCGCATGAAGAGGGTGAACTGCATGAAGAAGGCGAGCCTCAAGCAGACGGTGAGCAACATGAAAAGGCCGAGCCCAATGATGAGGATACCGATGATGCGTGGCCGAAAGGGTTGCAGGCTGAGGACTACTTGGCGTATACCTGACACGTAGATCGGAAGCTGACCGGGCCAGGCATCAACGTGAACGGGCAGAAACTCGACGCAGCAACTGCCCTCGACATGTCCAGCGACTACCGGCACATTCTGAACCAGTACGCGGCCTCGCCACGGGCAGAACAAGCCCGCGCCTGGTCTTCAATAGTCGCAGCCATGCTTCATTCCTATGCACCCCTCTCCTCATCAACTCCATCTTCCCTCCTAGCACAGCGCCAGTCTTGCGCCAGTCGTGCCTGGACGGGGTGGTCGCGACAGGGATGGGATGCGGGGTGGTGAACGGCAGGAGCACGGAGGCTCAACCAACAGCTCTGCTGGAAGCGAGTTCTCGGGGCTTCGAAGGTCCTGGTCTTCCTCGCCCCCTCTCGGCCCCCCTCCTCCTCCGACGGCTGCCACTCTCTTAGCACAGCGGGTCCAGAGCTAGCTGGGCCCAGCGGGAGTGGAAACTCCCAGCTGGGGGTCAACAGCACCGATCCTCCACGTCCGCTGGCAGGAGGACTGGCTCTCCGACGAAGGGCAATCCAAACCTCCTCCTCCCTCCCGCCTCCACATGGGTGCTGGTACTGGGGGCACTGGGCTTCGGTGCTGAACGCTGCCCACCCGCCTCCCAGCGGCGGTCGCCCCGCGTGGGGGGATGATCAACACAAGTAGGCGCCCCGATACGCAGCACGCCAAACGGAGCTCAGCGCGTAGACTGAGCACGCAGGTCCGGCGCGATACGTTCGCCAAAACGTGGGCCAACACGTGCCGAACCAACATGCAGCGTGTTCGCACGGACGTTTTGAGCACGGCACGCGCTGCATTTTAAAACGGGAGTATCAGGGCAGCTAAGGTTACAAAGTGGCGCAGAGGAGGGACCATCCAAGGGCGGATCGGCCAGATCCCCCGGCAACCCCCCTCAACAGCGGGGGGGGAACGACAAAACGGCCAGACCGAAACGTCGACCTCCTCCTCCTCTTTGACGCTGCGCGGCGAACTTCAGCCAGTGTGCTGTGGCGTTTAGTAGACCAGGAGACAGAAGTCAATCTGCTGACCTGGCCAAGGGGCCAACTGATCCAGTCGGGCAGGCGTAGCGGGCAGGCGTAAACTCCACCTCCTCCTCCTCCTACTCCGCTCTTCGGCTCCTCAACTCCTCCCTCCCACCCCTCGTCCTCCTCCTCCTCCGCTCCTCCTCCTCCGCTCCTCCTCCTCCTCCTCCTCCTCCTCCTCCACCTCCTCCAGTTCTTCTCCTTATAATCAACTTCTCTCCCTGTCGCACCTCGCACCCCGAACCCAGTTTTTAGGGTGAGCCGGGCGTTTCGCCTGAGACTTCCCCACCATTTATGGCCCTGAAGCTTAAACATTAGCAGCAGCTTCACAGATGGAGGGCGGGTCGTTTTCAAAATGTGGCTCTCGCCTTAGCGCCGCGCACATTCGTTCTCCCAACCCTCCTGTGTTGGGTTCTCGTTTTGGAAAGAGCAGTGTGGTCTCCACCTCCTCATCCTCTCCTCCTCTCCTCCTTCTCTCCTGTCTCCTGTGTTCCCTTCTCCTCTTCTCTCGTGCCGTCTGCGATCTGCGCAACCGTCGGCACTTTCGTGGGCTCCTGGGAGGCCCAGCGGAGGTACGTCGTACGCAGATCACCACTATAGCTCGCGGTGCCCTGGGGGGCTGCGATCCGCGAAACTCTCGGCACTTTCGCGGGCACCTGGGAGGCCCAGCGAAGGTACATTCCACGCGGATCACCACTATAGCTCGCGGTGCTCTGGGGGGCTGCGATCTGCGACACTGTGGGCACTTTCGTGGGCTCCAGCGAGCCCCAGCGGAGGTACGTCCCACGCGGATCACCACTATAGCTCGCGGTGCGCTGGGGGGGCTGCGATCTGCGAAACTGTCGGCGCTTTCGTGGGCTACTGGGAGGCCCAGCGGAGGTACGTCCCATGCGGATCACCTCGGGACCTCGCCGCACCCTGGGGGGCTGCGATCTGCGACACTGTCGGCACTTTCGTGGGCTCCTGGGAGCCCCAGCGGAGGTACGTCATACGCAGATCACAACTATAGCTCCTGGTGCCCTGGGGGGCTGCGATCTGTGAAACTGTCGGCACTTTCGCGGGCTCCTGGGAGGCCCAGCGGAGGTACGTCCCACGCGGATCACCACTATAGCTCGCGGTGCGCTGGGGGGCTGCGATCTGCGCAACTGTCGGCACTTTCGCGGGCTCCTGGGAGGCCCAGCGGAGGTACGTCCCATGCGGATCACCACTATAGCTCGCGGTGCCCTGGGGGGCTGCGATCTGCGAAACTGTCGGCACTTTCGTGGGCTCCTGGGAGGCCCAGCGGAGGTACGTCGTACGCAGATCACCACTATAGCTCGCGGTGCGCTGGGGGGGGCTGCGATCTGCGAAACTCTCTGCACTTTCGTGGGCTCCTGGGAGGCCCAGCGGAGGTACGTCCCACGCGGATCTCCACTGTAGCTCGCGGTGCTCTGGGGAGCTGCGATCTGCGAAACTCTCTGCACTTTCGTGGGCTCCTGGGAGGCCCAGCGGAGGTACGTCGTACGCAGATCACCACTATAGCTCGCGGTGCCCTGGGGGGCTGCGATCTGCGAAACTGTCGGCACTTTCGTGGGCTCCTGGGAGGCCCAGCGGAGGTACGTCCCACGTGGATCACCACTACAGCTCGCGGTGCCCTGGGGGGGGGGCTGCGATCTGCGACACTGTCGCCACTTTCGTGGGCTCCTGTGAGGCTCAGCGGAGGTACGTCCCACTCGGACCACCTCGGGACCTCGCCGCCCCCATGGGTGGCTTGCGATCTGCGCAACTTTCGCAACTTTCGTGGGCTCCTGGGAGGCCGAGCGGAGGTACGTCATACGCGGAACACCTCGGGACCTCGTCGCCCCCAGTGGTGGCTTGCGATCTGCGCAACTGTCGCAAGGCGATTCCTTTTCAAAACGTTGCTCTCGCCTTAGCGTTGCGCACATTCGTTTAAAACAAGTAAAAGAGCTTCACGGATGTGGGGCAGTTCCTTTTCATCATGTGGCTTTCGCCTTAGCGCCGCGCACAGTCGTAAACAAATTCAAGAGCTTCGCGGATTCCCATGACCAACGTATCAGAATTTGTGTTTTGGACGGGTTCAGGCTTATGAGGGTGCAAAAGTTGTGTTGATTCGCGGCGTTCAAGTCCCAAGAATAGCGTTCTGGCGCGATCCAGGATCGCCAAGACGCAACAGTCAAGGTTGATCCGTGGCGTTGGAATCCCGAGAACACTGTATTGGCATGCTTCAGGGTCTTCAAGCAGTTATCTTCCAAAGAAGCAATTGCCTCAATGAAAATGAACCGCTGTAGGGGCTCATGAAGAGGGAGCTTGGAGGGAGGCTTAATTCCAACATCGTTGATGCCTCTTGGGTTTGCACTGGTCCTCCTCCTCCTCCTCCTCCTCCTCCTCCTCCTCCTCTTCCGCCTCCTCCTCCTCATTTCCTCCTCCTCTTGCTCCTCCTCCTCCTCCTCCACCTCCTCCTCCTCCGCTTCCTGCTCCTCCTCCCTCCTCCTCCTCCTCCTCCTCCTCCTCCTGCTCGCGCGCTCCCGCTCGCGCGGGAGAGAGCGCGCGGAAGATCGGGCGAAAGAGGAGCAGGAGGAGCGAGCTCCGGCTCAGAGTCGTGGTTAGAACGCGGACGAGGAGGAGGAAGGAGAAGGAGGACGAGGACGAGGAGGAGGAAGGAGAACGAGGAGGAGGACGAGGAGGAGGAAGGAGACGAGGAGGAGGACGAGGACGAGGAGGACGAGGAGGAGGAAGAGGACGAGGAGGAGGAAGGACGAGGAGGACGAGGAGGAGGACGAGGACGAGGAGGAGGAAGGAGAAGGCCGTCGGGGCTCGAGTGCAGGGGATCGCTGGCATGCCGTCTCTTCCCCCGGACCAGAAGACGCCCATGCATAGTTCCCGCTTCTTGTCAGACGCTGCCGTGAGCCGCACGAGCTGCCCGATCCTTTGGCAGAGGCGCGGCCGAGGAGGATAGCATGCAGTGGCGAGAGAGAGTGGCCCCGATCACACAGGTGTGCGCAGCCTGCCTCTGCCCCGCCTGTGGTGGACAGGTCCTGTCGATCTGTGCGACACACACACACACGCACGTACGCTCTTTCTCTCTCTCTCTCTCTCTCTCTCACACA